GCAGGGGGATCTCTGGGAGTTCGAGGCCAGCCTGGTTTCAGAGCGAGTGCCAGGATAGGCTCCAAAACTACACAGAGAAACCCTGTCCCGAACCCACCCCCCAAAAGGAATCAATTGAAAACAAAGAGCTTGTTAGACAAATCTCTAGCTGCAAACACACAAGGGTTCCACATGAAACAGCTCTCAATTCTGCACTCCCAGCAAACACTTGCTTCAGTCTAAACTACTGAAATAAAAGTACAAGGAAACTGGGCAGTGGTGTCACACACCTTTAATCTCAGCAGTCAGGAGGCAGAGGCAGGTGGATCCCTGAGTTTGAGGCTAGAGTGAGTTCCAGGACAGCCAGAGCTATGAAGAGAAACCCAGTTTCAAAAAAACCAAAAAGTATATGTGGGAGTGGATGTGTACACCGAAGTGCAGGTGCCCGTGTTAGCCAGAGACAATGGATCTCTCCAGAGCTGGAGTTACAGGTGGTTGTGAGACGTCAGAACGAATGAAGTGGATTTGGGGAACCAAACTCCTGGCCTCTCCAAGAGCAGTTCACACTCTGAACCACTGAATCATCTCCAACACTCAGTCCTTATAATATATTTTAGTCATTCTTAACACAACACATACAGCCTTCCTCCTTGACTTCCTGAGAACCCCATTCTCCCACCCAGCCCCGCAAGATAGGGGTTCTCCGTGTAGCTTTGGAGCCTATCCTGGCACTTGCTCTGGAGACCAGGCTGGTCTCTAACTCAAGGAGATCCACCTGCCTCTGCTTCCCGAGTGCTGGGATTAAAGGTGTGGACCACCACCCAAATTTTATCCCAGCTGATTCTCTAAGACTGGCCTAGACCTGACAACCAGTAAAATGTCTCTACGACTGCCGATTTGGGTGGGAGACTTAGAAACATTCCCTGTTTCACACACAGCAGATTCTATCCGTGTAAAGGTGCCTGATCGGACAGCGTCCATCCTGGAAAGCAGAACATTTTCAACAGTGAGAATGTGGCACCAGAAACGTTATCTGTTGCAAAGACAGAGGCTTTCAGTGTGAACCTTGTGCGAGATTCAGGAACACCAAGATGGTGACTACTTACTCAGAGCAGATTAAGCCAGACGCTTAATCTTTAGGTTTCCAAAGTAGGAATTATCCTTCAGAGCGCCTGAAGACGTTTCCTTTAGCCTGAACTTCAGTCAGCACACTGGGAATGAGCATGTGCCACGGTGGCAAACAAACACAAGCGGAATTTTTTTTTTTCTATGCAAACCTTACTTAACTTCGACAAGAAAGCAGGCCGGGCAACGCTTTTAGACAGGCAGGAGGTTTACCCGGTCCATACCGCTGCCAAAGATCACACCCCAGAGACTGAGTTTTTGCCATGGTGCCACCGCACTTCCGACACCACACTTAATGCCCAAAGTTGCAAGAAAAGTGTTAACTCCCCGCAGAAGCCAGGGCGGCTGGCTGGGGGGGCTCGGCG